TGCCATCCTCCTCAGTGCCACCCTAACTCTGTCAAACCATTCAGCTATGTGAGCACAGGACTGTGCCACCAAGTGTGGCAGTCTGCCTGAGGCCTAGGCAGAGGTCATGGCCTGGAGTTCAGGGCAGCCAGGTGACCAAGATCAAAGCCAGACCCTTAGAGGGGCAGATGAGAGGCAGGAATGCTTGAGGGAACAATCAGAGCAGGGCTGAGCTAAGAATTGTGTCCCAGGCCAGCTCAGGGAGGAGCAGGCTATTGAAGATGAATGAGGCAGCCGACTGCCCTGAAAGCTGAAATTCCTCCAGGAACTAGGCATTTAGTTTTGGGCAGGTCTCTGCATTTCTCTTAACAGCCAGTTCCTTCAGTGTCGTGTTCTAGCTGAAGATCTCAGGAGCTACCTGGCTAACCGGTAGATTCATACCTAGGTATATAGTCTAACCGTCCCAAGTTTATCATTACTGTTTGCAGTGCTGGGGCCTGAACCGAGCTTCCTCATGCTAATGAAGCCCTTAGCCCCGAGCATCATCCGAGCCCTCCTTACTGCTCTGAACCTACAGTGTGGCCAGCAAAAGCAATACAGCTTTCAAAGCCTTATGATAACGATTTGAACCCAGCTATGTGTGTTTGCATAGGAGACAGAACTCTCCACTGAGCTGGATCTCTAGTCCCAATCAACCTCTTTTAGTAGTTGTGTAGATTAAATGAAATCACACATAAAATACTTGATACAGGCTTGGCACCATATAAACTTAGAAAATATGTTCTTCCTCACAAGACTTGTGAACGAGGGAACAGAGCAGCCTCTGGGATGGAAATTAGGGGGCAGGAGGCCTACTTGAGGTGCCCTTGGGATCCACACCGTGGGAACAGTGTGGGCGGAAGGAGTTGAGCGGTTAACATAGTCTTCATTCATGCAGGTCTCATCCCAGTCCAACAGGGGTTTTAAAGCTGAGATGACCCTTCAGCATTCTCCCTATTTGGGACAAAGGGATGATATAAATTTTGATTCATCTTGGGATATGAGCTGTGCATGAAAGCAGACGAGACCTTAGTCAAGCTGATTTTTCAGTTAAGACAGCTCCTATAATGGGCTACCCCTGAGAGACAGTTGTCAGCAGCATTCCCTGCACGTGGAAAAAGCATCCTTCGTTTCTGAAGGGACATGGTAACACAGCCTAGTGTCTACTGCACTGAGTAGGAGTTTTCAAATCCAGAATGTCACACATGCTTGGCAAACACTCTTCCACTGAGCTACATCCCCAGCCTTAGTAGGATTATCAGATTAAGTAGGTGACTTCCCAGGATAAGGGCTGTCTGGATTTGACACTTCCCTGTAATTTTTCGTGCCAAACATTTAGCAGTGGTGTGCACAGAGCCATGGGAAAATTCTTGCCTCTTCTAGTCTCATAGCAAAACAAAAATGGACACTTTGGAGAGAAGAGCAGAAGCTGATTTCACGTCCCTTCAAGGGAGTAAGTCACTTGCAAGTGTCACAAAGGACTCATTTAATACTTTCAAACCATGTTCATTTCTCTAACTTGCTCGTAGAAATTTAAAGGTGTGCAGGAGGGCAACGGGTAGGAGGCAACTTTGTGGGTAATGTGGCATTCTGACAACTGGGTTTTCTTTCTCCACCTGGTTTTTATGTGCTCCTGTCTTCCCTACACCTCCCCAGAGAATGTTTTCAAGTGCTGTGGCATGGGAGCTCCTCCTTACACCAGCTTAGACCTGGCAGACACCACCTATAGGGGCCTGTCTGCCTCAAAAAAGACTGAGTTCTTGGGGACTTTTTGTACCCATCTCTGATCTCATCTTCAAATCAAGGCAAGCCAACTGAATCAAAGCAAACACAAGGAGAAACTGTGGAATCCAGGCAGATAATGCTTTGAAGAGAGAAGACATGTTTGCTGCTGGGTATGGTGACATAGGCCTGTTATCCCAGTTTCTTGGGTGGTGGATATGGAAGATCAGAGTTCAAGACCAGCCTATGCAAGCAGTAGGAACTTGTCTCAGAAAAAACCAAAACCAATCTGGACCCCGCCTGCCCTGGGTGCGTGTGTGTAGTCCTTAAATGAAACCATACTCAGGAATAGTGGCACACATCTATATTCTCAGCTACCTGTAAGGCTGAAGCAGGACGATCACATGTATTCAAGGCCAACCTGGGCCAACTCAGCAAGATCTAGTCTCTCTCTCTTCTATATATATATACATATATATGGTCTGGGGATGTAGTTCAGTGTTAAGAGTACTCGGGTTTAATACACAAGATCAAAAACAAAACATCTACTTCTTTATTTGGTATTTTGTTGAGATAAGGTTTTGCTAGTATGGCCCACGCTAGCCTCAGACTCAAATCTTCCTGCCTCAGTTTCCTGAGTGCTAGGATTACAGGCGTGTAACACTAGGCCTATGCCTCTCATTTAATTCTTCCAAAAAATAAAAGGGACCTGAAGTTAACTGACCCATTACTTTCCTATTACTCTGTCTCCTTGTCCTTGCCCTACTTGTTCTTTGTCCTCCCCTGCTCAGCCCCTGGGAACCATTTATTCTATCTTACGGAACGAAGCGTTGTCCACCTCTAGACTTGCAAAAGAAGCCAACTAAATTTGTTATCATTTTGTCTTTTAATAGTGTTAAACCAAACTCCTAAGACAGGGGGATTGAAATAAAAGGACTTATTGAGCCATTATGAAAAGGACAAGGTTTCAAGCCAAGTTCCTGCAATTTATAGGCAATAGTTGGAAAATGGACCTAGTGTGCAGAATATTTCTATAAACTTTGGGGAAGGAAGGCACTGTTTGCATAGAACCTATGTTGGCTGTAAGAAGGGCAGAGTTTTGTAAAATGAGGAAAACTTTGGGATTGGAATGCGGTCCGTAAGAATTAACTACTGCTTCAGAATTGACTGGGGCGATGGTCCCAAAAGCTTGTCCATCATTTACTAAGGCCTTTTTTTTTTTTCAGTACCAGGAATTGAACTCATGACCTTGCACTTGCCAGGCAGGTGCTTATGCCACTGAGCTAAATCCACTAAGGCTTCTTGTACAAACTTCCTGTCTTTTACCACCTCATTACTACACTGGAAATAATATATCTCACAGTATGCTTGTGAGGATGAGTAACACAGTATACATGTAAAATCATTAGCACGTGCCTGGTACCCAGGTAAACACACTTAACTGAATATAACTGACATTCTGGCAAACCGGTTTCAGGTGCATAAGACATCTCCTCAGGTCAAATGAAGTCTCTGAAATACTTTCAAAATATGACCTGGTTATGGTGGCACATGCCTGTAATCCCAGCACCCTGGGAGGTTGAGACAGGAGGATTCAAGTTTGAGCCTAGCTCGGGCAATTTAGCAAGATGCTGTCTCAAATAAAAAATAGAAAGGACCGGGGATGTAGTAGTTCACTGTGAAAGCCCAGGGGGCAAACCCCAGTACCGACACTGTGCCCCACTCTGTACAAATTACTCCCAACAAATGCTCACTGCCCACTTTGGACTCATAATGAGAACATAATTATTTCTTTGTGGTGTTGTCGATGGAAGGCTTTGCACATGCTAGGCAAGCACTCACTAGCTGCACCCCCAACCTCATACGCTATATATATGTATTTTTTTAGTCAGTACCGGGGATCAAACTCACGACCGCCTGCTTGCAAGGCAGGTGCTTATGCCCCTGAGCTAAATCCCCAGCCCCAATATATTTTTGTTTTTTGAGACAAGGTCTCACTGTGTAGCTCAGGCTAACCTGAACTCTCAATTCTCCTGCTTTAGCCTCCTGGGTACTGGAATCATAGGTATGTGCCACCATACCAGTTCACACATTCGATTTTGCAGTCGGTATTTTAAGACACCTGAAATTCTGTGTCGAAGATACTCTCTCATTTATTTTATTATTATTATTATTATTGATACAGGGTCTTGCCATACAGTTCAGGATGGCCTTGGGCTCACTTGCAAAGATCCTCCTGCCTCAACCTCCCAGTGCTGGGATTATATGAGTGTGCCATCACACCCAGCTCCTCCCTCTTATTGACATCACTGAAGCTGTCATGGGATATAGCTAGTGTTTGTTGACATGATCTCATTAAATGGCTTAAATGCTAGAAATTTAAGATATGTAAACAGCCAAACTGATTGAACATCTTTTGTACATCAAAGGATTTTCATGTGCTTTTAAGTAGCTACAACTTAGATTGTAAACAACACAGGAGGAATGTACTGGCCTAAAACACACAGGATCAGTTATTTGTGAAATGAGAGAGCAGGACAAGATTAGGCATTCTTAAAACTCGAATACACCAGTCAGAGATGGCTTCAGGTCTTTGGTTTCTGTGAGAGCATCACCTAAGTTTTGCATATAGGTGTATTTTTCTGGGAATAGAGTCAACAGCTCTTCTAAGATTTTCAAAAGACCCAAAACTCCTGTGACAGTTAATCACGATATATCAATTTGGCTGGATTGTGGAATGCCCAGAGGATTAGGAAAACGTATTTCTGGGTGTGTGACCCTGGGTCTATATGAGGTTTCTCATCCACTCCTCCTGGCACTATTCAGGGCTCTGCTCTGTCTCCCAGCCACCATTAATTTAAGCTGCTTTGATCTAGCATACCTTTCTGCTATAATGTTTCTACCTTGGAACCAGGAGACCATGAACTGAATCACTTGAAACTGTGATTTCTTCTTAAATTGCTAGCATTGGGTATTATATCTCAGAGATGAGAAAGCTAATACAATTTCCATATTGTTTTTAAAAATTACAGAGCAGACTGTATTATTGTAAATATGTAATATGTAAATATGTAAATATGGCTCCAAATAAAACTAATGTCCCAGTTCCTTATGAGGTCTAACCTGGATAAGTATGTTCGACGTCATTTGTTTTCTCAAAGCCACAATCAAGCCCTCCCTGTACATCACTCACTTTTCCAACAAAATATGCCCAAATTTTGCAAAATTCTTCATTTTGTACAAAGAAGACTACTTCTCAGTATAATTTAATTTGTTTTAATGTAATCTGCTATAAAAATGAACATTTCTGCATGGTACATTTGCTTTTACAAATGTTAAATGACTAGTCAATGCTTATGTTATGTTACACATCATTAAAATCTGTTGACCAGTAACACAGTTTTTTCAATATGGGTTAATACCAAAATTGTGAACCGTGGAACTTTTAGCACACACGCACACACACACACACAATCTACAGCAAACTTAAATACTAGTCTATAATATCTAACTAAATTATTGGATCCACTGAAGGATTGTGCTTCTTTACCTCAGAAGATAGATAACTAGCAAAAATACACATTTCTTCTGCATATCCCACCCCATATTACACTGTAAAAGAAATACATTATTCAGTGCACTTCCTAAGAAATAAAACTTCCTTATAATCTCTCTCTCTCTCTCTCTTTCTATATATATATATGTATCCCAAAACAAAAGAAGAGCACAATGCAACTTTTAAGATTACCATTTAAAGCAAGAGACACTCTGGCACTGTAGCCTCCCTCCTGTTTAGAAGGTTGAGAAATTTTATCAACACTGTTCATTTTGGCTATGCAATGGAAATCAAGTTCAATGTATGACTGTTTTAGACAGTTTAAGATATCTCCTATATCATTTTGGCAAACACTTTGGGCACCAGAAAGCACTTAATTTTTGCCTTTAATCAAACTATAATCTAGAATCCTTAGTATATTCCCGTGATTTATGTATCAATTTTCTATTACTTGCCTTTCTCATCAACTCATATCAGATTAAGGGAAACAAGATTATAGCAAGTCAGGAGCTACAGTCAGGCAAGAGTTAGGGGAACGTGTATGTGAAGACACCAAGGTCTCTCTCTCTCTGTGGATCACCAAATTGTATAACCACCACTATCTGAGGTGGGTTGTGAGAGACCTGGCTGGAAGAGTGGGGCAATTATATACCATGGACACAGCTGGAAAGTCTGAAGGTTTCTGTCTATATAAACTTACTATGACTGAAACAACAGAAGTTTCTAGAAAGAAAGAAGTTGCATCCTGGCAGCTTGCAAAATAAATCCAGCTGAAATGTTAACCAGCAGTGTTTAAAATATTTATTTACTCAGTTAGGTCTTTCTAGACAGTGTTTCACTATGTAGTTAAGGCTGACCCTGAACCGACTCTACAGACTTAACTCACAGCATTCCTCCTGTCTTAGCCTCTGAGTGCTGCGATTACAAGCATGTCCCATCAGGTTTGGCCTTTGAATCAGTTCTTGATATTTAAAAAATGGGAATATTTCTCACAAAAATTTGGATATCATAAAAGCTTGATGATGTGGTAGCCCTGGTCTAGCATTCTTGTACAGGAGGAAGCAGCTGGAGCAGAACAAGGTAGCCTTTTTAAAAGGGACTGGGTTCTTCAGATTGCCGTAGCTCCCCCCTCTCTAAGTTATTTGATACCACTTGAGGGAGTGATCTGTTTCACTCTAATGAGCTGAGTTTTGTGCCAGTGGGGTTAATTTAGTTGTGCCTTTTTAAGATGCTGAAGATGTGGGCTTCCTCTGGAATTTTCCCATTTCCCCATGGACAACAGTCCTCCTTTATTTGACTGGGTCCCAGACACATCCAGTTGCTTTGGAAGGTAATCTTAATGTGCAGTTCTACTTGTCCTTTATGCTATATTGCAAACTCCAAAGATAGAATCACACTAACAATTTATGTGTTTAAGTATATGTTAAACACACAAAGGAGTACGTATCTATACAGGTATGCGTATACTACCATTTAGGCAAAAGTTCATTTGGTTCAGAGATACTGACAAGTGCTGGCAGCTTGGAGCATAAATGTAACGATCCAATAAAACCTGTATTATTCTGATTTATAATATTATAAAGAGAGTCAATTTTAAATTATTGCTTTTTGAGTACAGATTTCATTCTGTTGTAAAACTTACACAGAATGAACAACCATTTCCTATTCAAGTAAAAGCAATCAGAAGTTCCTTTCACCACAGTAGATGCTTGAAAATGTTTTTGAATGGAGATGTGATTTCATTCTGAAAGAAACTTGGAATGACTGAATTTTTAAAAGTACAAGAAAATTAGCACCTCAACTGCTTAGTGCTCAGGAGGGTTTCTCAAGGGCTCTATAAAGCTCAGCTTTATGGAAAATTCCTCCCCACTGTAAGGATTCCATACTTATGTAGCCCTGTTTCAGAACACGAAGTATGCATTAAAAATGGTAAAAGAGGATTAAAAGCAGTGTTGGGTTTTTTAACATTCAGAATTGACATGGGATCTCATTTTCTGCAATTACATGATCCATTTTATGTTTTTTGCTGCAGAATTACATTCACATGGCAGTCTTATTTCAGGCACTTTTAACATGTTTATCTGGAATAAAAATCTGCATGAAATACTTCTGCACTATTCAAAATGAGTGTTGAGTAATTCTGTCCCAAAATAGCTAGCAGATCACCACTGGGTACTCAATTAGCTTTCTTCATCACGAGGCAGTGTCTGCGGAGCTTGAGATGTCTCTGAGGTGCCCTTCTAGATTTAGTATAAAGACATAAGCCATAAAAATGCGAACTACTCAGTTTCTATTTAAAAAAATACAAAAAGGTAAAATACACTAAATGTATTATACAGATGGTTGCAGCTACTATCAAAATAAATAACATAATCTGACTCAATGGTTTCATTCTTGCACAAAATCACATGGAATGTCAACTGTGGAGACTCATTCATAGAACTAGCTGCTGGTAGGCAGAAGTATCTCAACGTCTTTGCCATTAGCTACCACTGCATTGGAAGAGCAGCTGCTGGCAAGGTCTTCTGTGGTGGTCAGAGAGGATGCCTGGGAATGAGTTTTGGTCAGTGGAGTGGGAGATGCAGAAGGGGCGAGACCAGGTTTTTTTGGTGGGATAGGTGGAGGATTTCCTCTCTCAGCCCTTGGGATGGTAGGAGATTTGATTCCTGGAGATAGGGGGCTCAGAGGACTGGATACTTTTCCTGGAGAAGGTGAATGGCTGGTGTCACCTCTTGGGTTGGCAGTGTTGGCCAGATTTCGATAGTCTGTGCCAAAAGGAGAGCTGTTGGGAGACACAGGCTTGATTGGCCCTTGGCTAGTGTATCTGGAAAGCACCTGAGTGACTGTGTTTCGAGCCAGCTGCTTGGCAGCAGAGTTGTCTAAAAGAGTAGGGGACAGATCCCTGGACGGAGGGCTCTGCAGACCACTGGCTTGTTGGTCCTGATCTGCTTGGGACTGAAATTTATGCCGAGCTGCATGGAACCGCTGGTTGATCCCTACCTGGTAGGATGACTGGTAGCCAGGACTGCTAGCTGATGAGCCCAATAAGCGCTTAGTTAGTACTGGTGAGGAGCAAGGAGAAGATGTGAGAGAGGAGGAGGCAGTGCTGCTGGGAGATGGCGAGCTCCCACTGGAAGCGAGGTAGCCAGGCATGGGGACTGGACTCTCTGTTCCCACCGGATACCCACCATTCTCCACTGGTTTCTCTTGAGCCAATGTCACCGACTTCTCTTGTGGAGGCACTTGATTTTCTACACTGCTGCCTGCAATCAACTCCCTGGTAGTTAGTACCTCTGGGTCACAATGGCCATTAGTCTTTGCATAAGAGAAAGCAGGAGTGTTGGGACTGGGCAAAATCCCAGTGTTTGTCACCTTGGTTATGTTGCTTCCATGGATTCGTTCTGCCGGAATGCTCTCTGTTTGGCAAAATACAGACACTAGCCTGGGGGGCTCAGTTGCTGTGCCTCGGGACATGGTTACCGGTTTCTTCAGTTGGGCATCAATGCTACTATGCTGATGGGAAGCCTCTAGGTCCTTCACTACCTTCTTCAGACTTTCCATCTCTTCTTTCAGAGTTTTTGTCCGGTTTTCTTCTCGATTTAGTTTTGCTCTCAGCTGTTCCCTTTCGATGTCAAACTCAGACAATTGCTTTTCTACCTGGGCCTCCGTCTGCAGGCCTCGCTTTCTCTCAGCTGCCAACTCTTCCTCCAGTTTACTCACCCGGCTCTTCTCCTTCTCCAGTTTCAAGCTCAGCTCCCCTGCTTTCTGCCCTTCCTCAGCTGCCTTACTGGTGGCTTTCTTGCACTCAAGCACCAGCATGGATGAGAGCTGCTTGTGGCGGGAGCGCTCCTCTTCCAGCTGACTAGAGAGCTTCTTTTGCTCTTTTTCAAATTTTTTCACTTGGGATTTTTCAAATTCCAACTAGAAAAAAATACCACCACACATCTTGATTAGATTAATAAAACAAAGACATATACTAAAAATTATGATCAAGTAGAATGTACCGGCTAGCGGTTCTCTAGAACATGGGATTATTATATATGCCATAAGGATTAGATTAATATTTTTTTTCTTTTACTGGGGTGCTGGGGATTGAACCCACGGCCTTGCACATGCTAGTTTGCTGTTCTGTATCACTGAGCTGCAACCCAGCCTAGAATTTTGAATAATGAGAACACTCAACACAAAAACTGCACACACTATGACTTAATCCTTCTTGGATGATTTAGGAGGCACTTCTAATTCTTAAAGGTCTCAGGGTTACTAGTGGGAATGTAATGCATTGCTGTGTCTTAGGTATGTGAAGAGTACACAGAACCAATCAAAACAAGTAACAGAAAACTATAAAAGTCAGATTTTGTGGTGAATGCTGCTCAAAACAAAACCTTAAGTTTCAGCAGTAATCTTCTTTGGTTTTAAAAATGAACAAACATAAATACCTACACTTGAATTACACTGTTTATACAAATGTAGTCTATTTTGTCTTCCCCTCTCTATTTACTGCATATAGACTCTAAATGAGAGGAAAGGGTTGAAGGAACATTTTCAGGCAGTGTTTTTGTGAGACCCATCAATGGCTGGGGGAAACCAATTTAGAAAGTCACAACCAGAACTCTGTGTGTTTGTACGTGGAGAGACAGACAAGACAGACAGAGGAATAAGAATCAATGTGTACTGCTGGCAGTAAGGGTTATGATTCATTTCCTGAGATGAGATTTTCATTTCAGGCAGTGTGAATGTGTGTACCTACTACTGGGTTGTGATATGCAATGCATTTCTTTTTTTTTTTTGTCTTTTTTGTTTTTATCGGTACCAGGGATCGAACTCACGACTGCCTGCTTGCAAGGCAGGCGCTTATGCCGCTGAGCTAAATCCCCAGCCCCTTGCAATGCATTTCTTACTGGGGATCCTAAGTAAAAAAGCTTCTAAATTAGTGCTCCCTAGTCTGTGTTCTACAAAATGATAATCCCATAATGAGTGATTCACGTTTAAAAGTTTATGAAAACATAGGATTGCTATACATGTAATATTCTGTCTTGTTCTTGGAGATGCACAATGTTACTTTGCGTACTAAAGGTTCTAAAAAAATTTAAAGTCAGAAACCTTCCATTTGACATTGTTTAATCCAGTGGTTCCTAGGCTTGCCTGCCATAAACCCATTTTTTTTTTTTTTAGCAACTCCAATTCATATCCTGCAGGATAACCCCTGAGAAATGCATTCTAGGCAAACACTGCTGTGATTTCCTCTGGCTTAATTACCTGTTGAGTGAGCCTCTCCCTCTCCTTCTCCAGCATATAGGTGACATCATCTCCTTCAGCTGTGTCCTGGGCATGCCTCTGCCTTTCTTCCTCGAGGTCTAGTATCACCTTTAAAGAATTTAAAAAACTCATTCCCAAGCATTAAGGAATCATGCTTATAATACCAACTGCCTAACTAAACATAGTTCCAGAGACTAAATAAATAAAACCTAGCCAGGGCATTCAAAGCGCACACTGTCGGGTGGGGTGAGACATACAAGCTATGCACTAGAAACCAAGATGTTTACTTTGCTTAAAGTAGATGCAGACTGGTATGTGAACAGAGAAAAGAGTAACGAAATAGTTAAGAAGATTTCAGAGAATTGGCAGAATATCTGGTAAACTTTAGGCTATTTGGTGTGCGCAGGGACCAGGTATAGGTGACAGAGCAAAATAAGATCACAGAAAGCTGCAAGCTGAGGTTCTCTCAATGCTCAGATCATTAGAAGAACCAAAAGGAGCCTGAAATTAAACAGGTAACTTTCTAACTATGCTTTGCTTTAGTAATACCGTACTTTTTAAAAAAAAGTTACTTAAGTGGGCATAAGACTCTTAAACTTTATCTTGCCATATAAAAAGCCCAATTATTAGAATCACAAATGGAGATTTTCCCCAAAACTTTACAGTTAACTTGCCTCGCCCTACTCCACTTGGGTGCCAAAGGATGAAGCTGACTTTTAAACCTAAAGGGACATTTCCATATAACACACCTGTAAGAACACAGTACTCTGAATGAGCACAGGTTAAAACTTTTTTTTAGGTCTTTAGGCAACTTTTGAGAATTCAATTCAGCTATGGAAAAAATATATCTCTTATAGAAATGCACATTTGACATTGTGTATATTTTCTGGGGTTTGTGGAATATTTGTGGCCCAACCATGGCTAAGGGTTTTTCATTTAACCAGTGATCTCGAACTTTATTTAGAGTTTTCAATGATACAAACAGCCCACTACAACACATGTGCCACACCTTCACCACCACTGACTTAAAACTGTGAAGAGAAGGAAAGGATCACAGGCAACGCTGAGCTCAGAGGCAATTTATCAGGTGTGCTATAAGCAGATGGTTCTACTACAGATAGTCATTAAAGTAAACAGAAGTCTACCAAATTTTGCAGCTGTTAATCTACATTTTTCAATTAAAGTGCTCTCTAAAAATGCACTGGTACCCTCCTTTTTGGTATAAAGTGATGGTATTTTAAAATGCAGAATCCAACCAAACATCTTTTACTGGCCCAATTTGAGCAGTAAATGACAAGATGGGAAATAAATTCATAAGCACCAGAACTCCAGTAAGATGAGATAGAGGAAACTGTCCTAATTTAGGAGCTATCAGAATGGAAATCTGTCTTAGTGAGGTAGAAGAGTTTTTTTTTTTTTTTTTGGTCTTTTTTATTTTTATTGGTACCAGGGATCGAACTCACGACTGCCTGCTTGCAAGGCAGGAGCTTATGCCGCTGAGCTAAATCCCCAGCCCCAGGTAGAAGAGTTTTAAGGTAAACAACTATAGGGACTACTTATGGTTTCATGAGCAATAAAATACAATGAAACTCAAACTAGGAATAAATGAAAATAATGTATTCGTTTATGTGTTTAACAGGTCAATTCCTCTCTCTCTCTGGGATATAGCTTTTCCTAAAAAAGTATTCATCTTTCTCTATTTATCATTTAAGTAAGCACCATAACCCTCTGTTCAGCACGAGTTGGTTAAATTCCAGGTTTCTGTTAAAGTATGGATGATCAGAGCTAAAAAAACAAAACAAAACAAAACAAAAAAAAACCCAAGTATTTTGGAGTGATCTATCAAGAAAGAATTTTATCTTAATGTGTTTGGCACATTCTCCAAATTTAACATTTGGAATAATCTGTAAATTTTTGGGGGGGGGGGGTATCTTCTGGCTCCTAGGTGGGCTGAGGAGCTTTTTGTTACCTATGATCCACCCAAACCGAATTACTGGGCATCGTTCAGTCTTTACAAGGATGTAGCTAGAACACACAGCCTGGGCTGAACCTACCTTCCGGTGCCTGCTCTCAGCAGCAGCCAGCTGGGACAACATGCGTTCCTGCATGTTCTTACACTGCTTCATCACCACCTTAAGAATAGACAGTGGATTGGTGCAGACTGGCTGCTTTTCACCATCATTTTTCTCTTTTAGTGTTTCAAAATCTCTCTGTAGAGCCATTAAAGGATCACTAATGTTGTATTTTCCATAGCGTTCTTCAATGAAAGTATCTCTGTGTTGGGCCTGGGAAAGAGAAAAAAAGTAAGTATTTTCAATAAAAAGATTAAAAAAAAATGTAAAAAAAGTAAGTAGTTTGCTTTTTAAAACTACTGAGGAGTGAAATTTGCTATCTAGTAGAGGCACTAGTGTTAGTATAAATGTAACCTACTGACCACAAATTGGATTGAGTCATCCCAATACAGAAACAACATCAGAAAGGTAGCATGGTACACTATTAAGAAGTACAAATACTTATATGCAACTGTGTAATAGATACTGTTTTAGGCATTTATAGTCATATTAACTTACTTTTTATAACCTTGTAAGCTAGAACTAATCATTTCCACTTTGTAGATGACAAAACACAGAAGTTAAGTAACTTTGTTCTAGGTTACTTATCTAATAAACTGTCAGAATTAGGACTTAAACCTAGGCAGCCTTGCTCAAAAGTCTGTATTCTTAACTACCATGATTGCTGTTTTGCTTATGTCTTCTTCTATTACCAGCAGGTATGTCTTACCTTTTCTTTCTGTTATGATATTTACATTTATGAAATATTAAGCATGACAATTTTATGAGTTTATATACTTAGCAAGGTACTAGCAAATATATAAAGAATGCTAAAATGAGAATTACAAGCTGGAACTATTTGTGAAATGTAGAATGCAACTTCACTTGACTACTGAAAGGTAAATGGGGTGGGGGCACTCATGACCAGTAGGCCAGACAAAATTCCTGCTACCTGCAGCCAAATTTTGCTCCCTCTGTGAGTCTCTGTTCAGTTGCTATCTTCCAGCCTCCTTCAGGGCCTGGTGAGCTTTGGGAGTAAGGGAAGGTAAGGGCATACAGCCTGGTGTTTGGACTTGGTTCAGGGGTTTGAGCCTACGTGCCAAGTCAGGGGTCCAAGGAACAGGAGGTGATAGGTAAGACACTTAAGACTTGAAATACATACTACTTCATATGAACATGACATAGTATATGTACATTAAGTGAATGACATTAATGATTATTACACTGAAAAGTCTCTTGAAATATTTTACTACATAAAAAAATAAGGCATTGACATAAGGTTGGGAAAATGCTCAAAAATCATAGCAAAGTACTTAGTTTTCAAGCTCTATCTAGTTATGAAAACTGCTGTTATTTATTTATTTATGTCTGAGAGTTTTGCTATGCAGTTCAGGTTGGCCTTGAACTCACTTTTATTCCAGGCTGGCCTCAAACTCACAACAATCCTTCTGCCTCTCCCAAGTGCTGGGATTACAGGGGTGTGCCACCACCTGTGTCATTTATTCATTTTTAAGACCTATTTCACCAGTATGTTTGTAAGCACTGACACTAACAGGGTCTGTTAAAAGCTCAGTGTGGAAAAGGTGAGGGGCTTAAAAATTCAATGGCTATATTTTAATTTAAAAGAACTCTCAGGAAAAAAAATTAAAGAACTGTGAGGCTTCTTTAATATAGAATTGTGTTTCAGTGCTAAGGAATCTTGACGCCTTCTTTGTTAACTGGCCAATTTTATAACCCAGAGATTGCTTAGTCTTCTGTAAAGATTTGTTCAAAGCACAGTTAGAATCCCTGAGTTTTACTTTTGGCTAAACTACAATCATGTAAGTTACAACATTTTTGGAGTATTTGGATGATGATGTATAGTGGAAATATAAACATATAAACAAACATGTTTTTGTGTGTGTGTGCATGTTTGTGTGTACGTGCACACGTGTACTAGGAATCAAACCCAGGGCCTTGTATATTCTAGGCAAGCATTCACTCATGGAGTTACATCTCTAGTACCTGTTTTTTCTTTAAGTTACTAATAACTCACCTTTACAACCTCATTATGTGGTAGGGGGAGACAGAGCGAGAGCAAGAGTGAGAATGAAAATTAAAGTGGGAAGAAGACCGAAAGAATCCAAAACAGAATTCTATTTTTTTCAGGTCTAAATTAAAAAGGAAATTATCATAAGAAAAAAAAATTTTTGTACCAGGGATCAAACTCATAAACTTGTGCTTCTTTGGTAGCCACTCTGCTGCTGGGCTATGTCCCCAGCCCTTATTAAAATTTCAAAATAGCTTCTAGTCTATTTAGGATGAAGGAAAAAAGGATCAATTCCTAAGCCATTTTTATTATCAATTCTATATCAATGTGAAAGCAAAATTAAAAAGTTAGTTACATTTTCAAAAGCAACAGTGTCAAACAACAATGTATTCCTTTTATCAAGAACATTTATTTCTTTAAATTCATGTATTAAAAACGTGAGATTGATAACCTAAGATTCAATGAAAATATCTACTTGTAGTTATTAATATCTTTTTAAAAATCCATGGTTAGAAGAAAAAACACTCAAAAGGAAGCAAGACAAAAGTCTAAAAGCAGTTGGATAATAACTTAACTCTCCATAATAACCACAGCTGTGTGGTAAATATTGGTAAAGGAATGATAACCAGCACTGAAATTAGTTTAGCAGGAAAAAAGGAAATAGAAATATAAACCTGACTTTACAAAAAAATGATCTTTCCTTTTTAGAACACCATGAAGAAAGCAGGGTGGGAGGTAGGTCTACAATTTATGACTGACACTGGATCTGCTGAGAAGTTGTCTCCTGTGTATAGTTATATAGTATATAGTTAGCCGTGAAAATATGACTTTTAAAACCCACACTACCATTATCCTGTATAATTAATAAGTATCAGAGTTACAAGTAATAGATAAGGAGCTTCTTCAGTGAGATCTCAGCCTAGGAACAATGGTTAGACTGTCTAGTTTCTCTTGAAGTATTTCATAGTAATTTTACAGTTACTTATTCAGTAATTACAAGTCATGCAAAATACAGTTTCACCTATAAATGAAAAAGGCTCCTATCACAAAGTAATTCTTTTAAGAACATTCTAATATGGGGTCAAATATAGGGAAAGTGAAGTCTAAATCTGTATTTTTTTTATATCAAACACTTGGAAAATAAAGATAAAATATGGTATTTTTCAACCAATTTAATGATTCAGTCATCTCAACTGTATAGATTATATATTTAATAAATTTGTTAATGCAAATAATAACAGTAACCAAAACCAGATGTTAAAATTTGAAGAGCTCTACTAAAGAGCTTAGTAGAGATACGTATTGGTTATTTATTTCTGCATAACAAATTGCCACCAAACATCTTACTTAATAAACACTCTCATCTCACGGTTTCTGACGGTCAGAAGGGGCTTAGCTGGGTGGTCCTGACTCCGGCCTCTTAGGAGGCTGCAGCGATCGATGTGAAGCCACGACTGGGACTGGACGTCCACTTGTGGGGATTGCTGAAGGACTGTTGCTACAGGTTTGGCTCCCTACAGGTGCCAACTCCCCACAGAGCAGATAATCAAGGAGACACAGGGACAGAGCAGGCACGCCAGCAACCAGGACAGGTATGTCCATTACTTCTGCAATTGAACCTTGAAAGTAACACACCATTGCTTGTGATGTGTTCTCCTGCGGGTACAGACAAACCCCAGTACTTGTGGGAACAGACTAAACAAGGGTGTGACCCTCCGAAGGCAGGAATCATTGGGCGCTCACCTGCGCTGCCCACCACAGGGCAAGTGACCTGACACATTACCAGTAACATTTATTTATCAGGCTGCAATTTAAAAACCTATACTACAAGCTATCAAGGGTGAGTTTTAATATATTAACAGTACTTCAGCTATTTCAGAAGAAATTTTGCATGAACACGGGGAGTTTAGCAACAGAGCTAAAATCCATTAATTCTTGCAATTTCACTATTTTTTACAACAATGACAGTGTTCATTAGCTGAGCTAATATGCCTAAATTATCAGAAAACATGATGGTCTTTAATTTCAGAGAACAGGAAACTGACTGGTTGGACAGATTCAGTAATGGAGGGTATTATCACGGCAGACAAAACACAGTAGTCATCTATTACTCACTTGTTTTTACTGCCACAGTCTGAATGAAACATACCACTACTAAAACCTTAAAATAAATCACATAATATCCTTGGAATCTCCCATACTTGCTCTCCAAAAGTCTCAGCTGTGCTATTACTAATTTAAAAAAGCAACAGCTATCTCTTCCCTCTTTCCCAATATAATATGTGCATAATGTATATATAAGTACATTCCAATTTTAAAGCAAGAAGCCAATCTTTTTGTTCTTTAGATATTCATCATCCACATGAAAAGTGTGTCCACTTCATTGGGGCCTTATGTTAAGCAGTATATTTTTATTTTCAAGACTTAGGCTAGTACTAGCATTGGGTTAACACGCATCATTGTCACTAATGAGACAATTCTAAGTGACAATTTTGAAAATAATCAGCACTGTGGGCCCTTAAGAAAATCACCACGTTCCAAGCATGACGACACATAGTTGTAACCCAGTCACTCAGGTGGATGAACAACAGGGTTACTTGAGGTCAGCCTGGGCACTCTCAGTGGTACAGCACTTGCCTACCATGTGTGAGGCCTTTGGTTCAAGCCTCAGATCAGGGGAAAAAGGTTTGAACGCTCCTATGCCAGTGAGCAAAGACAAGAAAACACAATTACAAGAGCATTTCTATTAATATTACCAAAGGCAAGTTAAAAGAGATCAGTTTTTACATACAAGCTAAATCTGTTAACTGTCAAGTAATAGTCAAGATCGAGCATACCAGAAAATCCTTGATAAACTATGAAAGGTCAAGCAACTGGAAACAGAAAGCAACTATACAGTACTAGATAAAGATGATAATATTATGTGAATTCCTTTGTTCTGAAGTTTCTTTTTACTTGTTGATAAAGTACTGGGTTTTAATGTTTGATGATACTGTAAGACAGACTTAGCCTCATTTAAATTAAACTTTAATTGTGAAAAATGGTACAATTTTTCTTTTATGTGGTAGTGACATTATACTCAGGACCTTGAGCATGCTAGACACTCTACTAGTGAGCTATATCAGGGCCAGGGATTTAGTTGAATGGCTCAAGCACTTGCCTGGTAAGTGCAAGATCATGAGTTTGATCCCTAGTACCAAAAAAA